TAAGAATTTTTTTACACTTAAGTCAAAGCTTAAGCCTATTCTTGAGAGCTTTTGTGAGAAGTTTTGTACATAATTCTGATGAGATGGGTGCTGCAGAGTGTCCTGGCTGAAATAGGCTCGGCCAGATCAATGGGGCAAAATACCCAAGCGTGTAGCCAGTCCATAAAATTGCCCCCTGCTCCAGAATCAATAAAAACCGACACATGATGAGCAGCCCAATAAAACTGTAATGATGTTTGGAGAATGGAATGACCACCAGAGAGCAGCCGAGTATTAGTGACGCTCACCGTGCGCCCTCCTTTGAACAGTTAGCAACGACCCTTCACAGAACACACGGCTGCCACATGCCCCGCTTCCCCACAGAAGAGACAAAGCTTGTTGTCAAGATGATGATGCCATCTGTTATAGTCAGCCGTGCTCTCCTGATCTGCATAGGCTCAAATTCAGGTAAGACGAGACGTTGAGGAGGCGTGTCATTGCCCGCTCCTGAGACCGCTTTGGTAAAAAGCTTGTGTGAGGATACGCCCCTCAGATGCTGGGAACGGAGAGCAATACAATTGTCCACACAGATAGCAAGGTCGATTAATCCGTCGACACTGGGGGGCAATTCCAGTGAGTAGATCTTATCCTTGATGTACTCGGCCAGTCCGTGAAGGAAAGGAACCCACCGTGCCTTAGCATTCCAGGGCTTGACATTAACTTTTTGAGGCACTTGGCCTTCGAACAAGTACATTTATGTTTCACTTGTCCATGCACAAAAGTCACTTGTCCGGGTAAAAATTTATAATTTCATTTATTGTTTTGTTATTGCAGAATTTGAACAAACATTGAAAGCATCCAAACACTATCAAAATGAATACAATTCAGTTGAAACAGCAGAAAGGAACGTGTCCCAAGAATAGAGTTCCCCTTCAACAAGAAATAAGGATCTCCAGACTCCATAATACGAAGTAATACTTTGCACGCTGGCGTGCAGTGTATCACCAGAGGTAGTGGTGACACTTGGTGTAAAAAATACAACTATCTGACTTTTATGCAGGCTTCAGTATGGACTGTGTGTCTGTCCAGGTGGGTAAGTCATATCGGCAACATAACTAGAACACTATTCATCCTCTGTATCTTCGGACCGACGCATTGATTCCCAGGGGTTAAATCCTGGGCGCTGCTGCCTTTGGCTGCAGGTCCACCTCTCCACCACCAATCCAGCATCAAGGTCTTGCAACTTTGGGCCCTCTACTGACAGAAATAGCAGCCTATGAAGCTGGACTGAGCTGAGGCTGGTCCCCCAGTCGGACTTGGTCCGTTTCATGGTTGAGCACCCTCTCTCACACACAGCTGTGCTGACTGGCAGGACCAAGTAAATTTTCAGGAGTGTCACCAAACTCCTGAACCGTTCACATCTCTCATCTGAAAAGATAGGAAAATATAAGGTAAAATATCTGGTACACAACCGTACTGAATGGCTCTACGTTTTCATTGTCTTACTTATCCTGTTTAAGGATACCTTAACTGTTGACACTACCCTGTCGCCAGGAGGTATTAGATATGGAAAAGGCTATTGAGAATGAACCCCTACAGTTTTTTTAGTCAAATTCTTACAGTAGTACACACACCTGACTTCAGAATATTTAAGAATGTGTCCCTCATTGGAACAGCTGTTCTCCCCTGGGCAAAGACCTTGTAGTCTTGAAAGTTGGACATGACTTCTTCTGTGCGGGAGGGCATAAGCCCTCCCTACACAGGAGGACACTGAAGTGCCTAGTCAGTGCCCTCAGATCCTCCTGACCACTCTCCCTGAATTGAGCACTGCCGTCTGACCTATCCCATTTGGGCCAGCAAGAGGGATCAAAGGCCTTAAATTTACTGACTGGACTGCCCCTTTGTAGGTCCCTCAGCTTCTCCTCTAAGTGAAAGATGATGGCATCTGTTTGGATCAAAACATAATCATTTGAGTTACATTATTGCCAATACATTAAATTACACAGCACCAATCTATAATGTAACTAACACTACATTTCTCCTTACCAATCACTGCAGCTCGTTCTGCTTCCAAGCTTGGAACTGTATGTCGAACCTGGAACTGCACTCCTCTGTGTTCTCCATTAGTCTTCACTGCCTCATAGACTTTGGCCATCTGTGGACCCATTTCTGTCTTGAGTGCTATCAGGTTCTAGTAACATGTCTCCAGGCTTTCAACTGCTTGACACACCGTGTTGTTGTCTTTCTGGAACTCTTTGCTCAAAAGAGCGAGATGATCCAGTGTGTCACACATGAAGTGAAGGAAGATTAAATGGTGCAGGTTTTTGAGATACCCAGTGACTTGTTTTGCTCTTCCAATGACAGCTGGTGATGGTTTGGGGTTTCTTTCCATGCTTGCCATGTCCTCAAAATGGGCCATGAGAACAGGGTAACTATCACATACAATCTACAAAAAATAATTATCATTACATAATATCCATTTGGCATTACTCATTAATAAAATCTGCTGAAAAAGCTGTAGTTAATTTAGCACTGACCTTTGTTGCACGATGCAAATATGGTAGCCATCGGGCACCATGGAGGTTGGATGGCTTCAGTACCTTCTCCTCCAGGGCCTCAGCAATCAGGTGAAGCTCCCTGAGAGCCTTGGGGGAGTAGTGGTACTGGTCATATAGGTTCTTCAGTGTATTCTGAAGCTGTACCATGTTGGCATTTTCTTTAACCCCCTGGGGTCGGCTATCGCGCCGGCGCGATTGTCTCTCTTTTTTTCTCTTATCAGTGCAAAAGTGACTCAAATAACTCTGTCGATTTTTGGGATACAGGCAAGTGTTATACATCATTCAAAACTGTTAAATGTCTACTGTTATTTGTGTACACTAATAATAAAAACCAAATGTTGTGTTTTTCGTAAAATAAAGAATATAAACATGATGCGCGTTCTGTCGTCTCTCTCAATGTGAAGTTCATTCTAAAACGCGACAGAAAATTATCTTTAACTCAGCAAATACTTGCCACCCACACGTGAGAGTTGTCTTTACAAAGCTTTAAGTCTCTTTTTTTAAATGATGTAAATTATACCAAAAACAAATATTCTCTGTTTAAGTAATCCTTATGAAAGCAACGACATGTACAGTTTCTTCAGCCCGAGCTCATTAACTCTAATGTGACCACGCCCACACGCCCGCGAGCTGTTCAAATTCAAATGATCCACGTGAAGGAACGCAAACGCCCTCATCACCTCTAAACAAAGAATCAGCGACTTCAGTCCTGCTCTGCTTTTCGTCGAGTTTGGAAGTGTTTGGTCTGTGCACCTTGGATTTACCTCAGAAGAATTAGAAGAACACGATTTGATTATGAGAACGATTTTTAAGGTAAGACACATAATAAGCGTCTTATGGTTGTATATACTTTACATTGTAGCTACTAGTTAAACTGGTGCCAGACTAAAATGTTGTGAAATGAGATTGGAGTGAATATACATGTACACAAAAGAATGTTTTTATCTTCGATAATTAAACACACCATGATATAAAGTAGGCTTATTCTTCAATGGTGAATATTATAATGTTTAGACCCGTGTTTACTGTTAAATACTGTGTTTGTGGATATCTGCTCAAACGTAGATATGTATAATGTAACAATAATGTTTCACAGTTTGGAGCGGATCGATCGGTTCAGTAAATGTCCTCTGCACGTGCTGAGTTTGAGTCAGTCGCGCTGTGGGTTTGAAAAGTAAAACACGCCAAACATTAGGCTTCATGTTTTTCTCCAATCTCATTTCATAACGAATGGAAACGTTTGAAGTAACATATGATAATCCATATATTTTTGTCTAGTGTAGTGTTACTGAAGTGTTCCTTTTTAACGATATATAGGCTGCCTGCTATCTATCTGTTATTATTTTATGCAGCCCTATGCATGGGCTATAACAATGCACAACAAACTTGGTGTTCATATATATTTAATAATAATTTTAACCAGAAAAATCAAAAATGTATTCCCAAAATCGTGCAGCCCTATAGTTTCTCTTGATATCAGCATGTTCACATGTGTTAATTTTTATTTTAATTTTAAGTCCTGCTGACTTCAACATTCACAGGAGACTCTGTACATGAACATTCCGACCTTTTACTATCGCGTCAATTGATTTTGATTAATATGCGCGAGGGAGTGAGAGCAAGACAGCGCTCATGTTGTTTGAAGACGTGAGAGAGAGTGCGCGCGCGCGGCCGGGGCGCTCTCTCTCTGCTCGTTATGCGCCCTGTCAGGCGCAGCAGTCATTCTATTCTACATCACTCATCGATCAAAAAAGGCTTTGAAGGGACAAAAATTTGCTTTGACGGTTTTAGAGGATTAAATACAACCCGAAACTAAAAAACAGACCCGGCCTCTATTTGAGACCGGCCTTTATTTACCCAAACCTGCAGCCACACCAGGCGTGTAAAAGAAACAGGCGTCCATATTATGGAATTATTTTTGTGCCGATAAAAATGAACGTAACTTTTCAAGAAATCAATGAAAATATAAATTGAAACTGAATAAAATATCTTTGAAACTGAAAAAGAATGAATCGCAGGCAATTTTTTTTACTTTGTTTTTAATACACTGCATGTTTTGCTAACTATTCCTCATATTTCTTTTATTCATTTCATTTTTCATTTAGCTGACGCTTTTATCCAAAGCGACTTACAATTGCTATATATATGTCAGAGGTCGCAAGCCTCTGGAGCAACTAGGGGTTAAGTGTCTTGCTCAGGGACACATTGGTGTCTCACAGTGGATTCGAACCCGGGTCTCTCACACCAAAGGCATGTGTCTTATCCACTGCGCCATCACCACCCCATTTTACTGATCTAAACTTACAAATGCGCTTCAAGAGTTTTCATTTACGCTTCTGAAGGTTTCGTTTGCTTCTGAAGTTTTAATTTACGCTTCTGAAGTTTTCGTTTACGCTCCCTGAGTTTTCGTTCACTGTTCTGACACAATTCTCTCGTGGGGGCGGGGCTAGTAGCAGTGTGTTCTCATTGGTTACTGAGTTTTTGATTGACAGCTTTCTTGACCTGGAAGTGAAGACGTCAGTGTTGCGTTTACTTGTGTGAATGTGAGCGTCTGTAAGCGCAGCTTTATATTTAATTTTAAAGAAGCTGTCAATCAAAAACTCAGTAGCCAATGAGAACACACTGCTACTAGCCCCGCCCCCACGAGAGAATTGTGTCAGAACAGTGAACGAAAACTCAGGGAGCGTAAACGAAAACTTCAGAAGCGTAAATGAAAACTTAAGAAGCAAACGAAACCTTCAGAAGCGTAAATGAAAACTCTTGAAGCGCATTTGTAAGTTTAGATCAGTAAAAGAAATATGAGGAATAGTTAGCAAAACATGCAGTGTATTAAAAACAAAGTCAAAAAAATTGCTTGCGATTCATTCTTTTTCAATTTCAAAGATATTTTATTCAATTTCAATTTATATTTTCATTAGTTTCTTGAAAAGTTACGTTCATTATTATCGGCACAAAAATAATTCCATACTATTTGGGACTCGGCTATTATTTGAAGTTTTACGGAAAGTGAAAATTCAAACACCTTGGAAATGACAGGTATGTACTATGTTTCAGGAATGGCACAAAGTTGTGTGACTGTTCAAGCCTCTGTCTTTAGATTTGTCCATTGTTGTGTATCTTTGGATTATGTTGTGTTGTAAATATATCCAAACAATCTAAAAGCCATTCTTTTTTAAATCTCATTCTTTGTGCAAGGCTCCTCATAATGATAGGGCCTGATAGCACCTAATAGGGCCATTGGGGGAGGGTCTTTGTCTTTCTCAGGTGTGAAAACAGTAATATTAATGAGATCATGCCCCTTCGCATAAAGCTATCTTACACAAAACAAGTCATACAAATTTTAAAAGACTTTATTGTCTTATCTGAATGAGTAGTCAGGATGATTTTCACATAGTTTTGGAGCAAATACTCTAGGCTATGTGATACAATTTTCAAAAGTCTTGTGAAGAAATAATCAGTATGGGTTTCATGACCTTATTTCAGTGACAATTTTTTTTGTTTTTTCACAAACCACGCATAAACGTCATTATCTCAAAAAAAAACTTTTACATACATGCTGCTGACATATTATTGTAGCAGAGTTTGTGCTGAATACAGTGTAATAAGACTTTAGCCATGAAAATGTCACAAGTAACAAAAAAAACAAAAGTAACAAAAGCAACATGCACAAATGAGCATGTCAGAACACCTCCGGGACCCAGAAAACACCTCAGACCCCAGAGGGTTAATTGCTTTAGTCACACCCAGCTCCAGGCGATGAGCAACACAGTGTATGGAGATGAGGTATGGAATGTCCCTCAGAAGCTGCGCTGCCACCCCATTCCTGCATCCGACATTGACTGCTGCTCCATCGCCAAATCCCACTAGCCGTTCTTTCCAGTCATCAATGCCAGCTTCTCCAAATGCTTTGAAGAAAAACACAAAGAGAGAAGTCAGTTGAGCACCATACATTAAAATGTAAACATGAAAACACAGATATTGCATTGCTAAACCAAACCCCTCTGGATTAAAGTAGTTGCAACCGAATCAGTCTCACTTGTCAATTGCTTTCTGCATTTCAATATCAATATGACATTTCAAGTGAAAACACTTGTGCACCGCAAATCTACCATCCAACCATTCCACATTACCTGCACAGATGGCATCCAGGATCCCAGAAGCATTTCCTTGCTTAACAGCTGGAATGGAGAGGAAAGCATTTACTGGACCCTCGTCTGCCATGAAGCGGACATAGACAGCTTCATTTTCAATGGTGCCACGATCAGTTGCCCCATCAATCATGATGGAGAAATGTTTGGCTTTCCTCAACTTCTCCATGAGATAGCTGCAAAGAACAACATTATTATGTTAACACTTTGGGTACTGCACACAATAAAGCATTGTTCGGCTACTTTATTTGTGTTTATTTTGTCTGTGTGTGACATACCGAACGCAAGCTTTGTCTGAATTGTAACTGTCTGGGAGTGTCCCACCGGTCCTGTTGATGAGCCCATAAAGTTCAAGAAATTGAGTGAAAGGTTGCTCCTTCTTTGCAATGTAATAGGCTGTGTGCATAACGTTTTTCATTTTATTAAACAAGGCCGGGTCCATTTTTTGTACTCCTTGGACTATAGTTGGCACTTCTGCATTAGGACCTTTTGCCTTCTCTGCAACAGCACAGTGCTGGTGGCATTTGCTGATCCCGTGGGACAGCAGTGTGTAATGTCTAAAAGCACTTGTCCCTTTGACCAACGAAGATGAGCTGTAATATTATAAAAATAATATAGGTAACAATGTAGGTGTTATTAAAAATGTTATTTGTTGTTACATAAAACATTTACACAATTTCTGCAGAATGACAAACTCTCTGTTATGTACTGTTTTGCAGCTTCGTCCCAAGATCCTTTGCATACAGACCGTGCAGTTAATTTAATGCTCAACACTTGAACAGGGGTTTCATTACTTGAAAGAGGAATTATTTACTGCGCCATCTCAGTTACAGTACATACATTATCAGGGCTTGGAAATACTGTGACTTGCCAAGGGATCTTGGAAGATCAATTTCTTGAACTTTATGGGCTCATCAACAGGACCGGTGGGACACTCCCAGACAGCTACAATTCAGACAAAGCTTGCTCTCGGTATGTCACACACACAGATAAAATAAACAGTAGGCAAATGGCTAGTAGAACATAACCTTTCATAATAATTTCAGTAAATCAAACTGCAAGACCCAGTGAAATGTTATATACAGCTAACAAACTAACGTTAGCTTGCATTGCTAACGACATTGGCTAACTCAAATTCTGTAGGGTATCCTCAGTATTTGCAAGCTAGCTAGACTTACTGTATACTATATCTAAAATAATTTTGTAGACATAACAATGGATTTTGCCACTTTCTACCCGGCATAGGCTGATTTACCAAGGGATACTTTAAAACGTGTAGCTACTTTACATCTGAACATTAGCTAATATTTAACTATGTACATTTAACCAATACAAATGCTGTTAATGCTTGTTTACAGTTAACTAACGTCACTTACTTGTCAGCCAGGTTGGGTTGTCCCCGACAGACACCACAGAACATTATTCCGTCTTCATAAATAACCCTGTCGAATTCATCTTTCCATTTGGTTACAAATTTTCGTTCCCGTTTTAATTCGTATGGTGCTGTTGGTGTAAGGTGACTTGTTTTTGGTGCTTTTCCTGGCGCTTGGCCGGGCTGCGGAGCCTGAAGAAACATCACTCTCCACTCCAGTCTCCACCACTGTTCTTTGAGGCATGTAAAAATGTTTAAACTTGGACCGACTCCTGATTGGCCAATCAAAGCATTCTAAGTTGGACGCTGGTTCGGCGGATTGTGGGGAAAAAAATGTGTTTGTTTCAAATCGGTAAAATTAAATCTGTAAAATAGACGTAATGAGTGGCAGGGCTCGCAAAATTTCAAAATCGATTTTAAAAAAAATGTATTTATCTATCACCCAAAAGCCAGTATTAGTTAATATTAATCTTGTGCCTAACATGATGAAAACGGCTTTGTTAATGTGTCTTGCCCCCTCACAATGACAGTAACATTAAAATAATTATTACATTACACAAATCACGTTACATAGGCCTATTTTCAGTTCAAAATGCCGAAATTAGACAAAAGTATATTAGTTTGCCTGATTATTTTTGTCATTCGTTTAACATTTATGACCTAAAAAAACTGTCAAATATGAAATGTTTAGTTTAGCTACTTACATCTTATCTCGCACTTGACCGTAAACTGAAGCGTCGAGTTGCTCTGCTAAAATTCGCGCTCAGCAGCTTCTGTGAACATAAAGCCCGCCTACTTTGATTTGATTGGTCATCTCAAATATTCTGACATTGACGAGCAGTGACAGACCAATGAGGCTCAGATGAACAAACACACACACACACGTACACTGTCCTCTGTTTCTGACCTGCACCGCTCTGCTGGCGCGCTGCTGCGGATTGAAGATGAAGAACGCACTGAATCTGATTATAACACGACTGAAGCGAATACAAATTTGTGTAGCCTTCGCTTAATCACAAATATTTAGGGGGGCGAGGCAGAAGTTTAGGTGGGGAATTTGATTATACTATTTCAGATAGCCCGTCGGGCAGGCCGGTTATGCATTTTGGTAGCCCGACTGGAAAACACAATAGCCCTGGGACGTCGGGCTAGCGATGTTGCGAGCCCTAAGTGGCACATAACGTGAAGTAACGTGGCATTTTATTTTGTTTGAAATTTAACTTGTCCAGTGGGACAACTAATTTTCTCTTCCACTTGTCCTACAAAAAAATCCACTTGTCCCGGACAAGCGGACAAGCCTTAATGTCGAGCCCTGAATTCCATCTGCATGACACTGCAAGCGAGTGTGAGGAACTCGATAGAGTACTCATGACACAGACTGATCTCCCTGCTGCAGCAGTGACAAACTCGCGCTGCCTCTGTCCCCAGAGTGGAGCGGACTAAAACCTTGCGGTATTCCTCTAAAAAATCCTTAAATGATGTACAGTAGTCATGTCATTTGTACCACATGACCTTTCCCCACTCTCTTGCTTGGCCGACCAGGAGTGCGTTTCCCGGAAGCATCGTTATCCAACTATGATCGCAATTTCCATTGAACTCTATTGGTACCGACGGAACTTGCGACCATAGTTGGCTAACGATGCTTTCGGGAAACACACCCCAGGAGCGTGATGAAGAAGGCCACCTTAGATTGCTCTGTGGGAAAACAGGAGGCCTTGAGTGAAAAAGTCAGTGAACAATGAGATTAAAAGGAACGACATTTAGTGGGCTCAATGGAGTACAGATTAGGTGGATTCGGCCCGAGATGCAGCGCCCACACAGGACGGGGAACGAGAGCTAAAACTAACTTTAGCTGGACAATAACTTTATTCTAGAGCTGCTGCAAAGCCAAAACAATCTCTGTTACTTTAATTTCCTATTATCACTGTACAGCTGCTTTGAAACAGTCCATATTGTAAAAAAGTGCCATATAAAAGTGACTTGACTTGACTATATATGTAAACAGTGATAGGCGTCGTATTCCTATTGGTAGACGTGGATCAGCTGAGAGTCAGCTGATGCGAGCTTGACTAACGTGACCTGCCAGAACTGACGCTACACTTGATTTTTGTCAGTACCACTATCCTCAAATACGGATGACAATTAGCATACAGTTTGGATTGGCGGTATGGTTCTGTTCTGGGCAAGAACTCCCTTCACATCCATGGAGCCTAGCATGGATAAGAGCAGGGAGAGCAGCAATAGCCCCCCAAAACAAAACCATATGCCAATATCCCCCAAACACAAACAAATTTTTTCTCTCTCTCTCTAAATACCCCCAACATGACTGATGCTGATAGAATGGTTAATAGATCCTAATGTTAGCGGCATATGTTGAGCACTATAGATCCAATCTTATGGGGGAAGCATCACCCCAAGCTGGAGCAAGCAAGGACATGATTGCAACAAGTGTGTTGCTGTAGCCAATTTAACAATCGTATTACACCCCATAGCGGCAACAAACTGATGCAACAAGCATGTTATATAAACACAGAACTATTGCTAAAACTAGCGTAGTTTGGCAGGGGAAGCATACACCCTACAGCAATAGCTCCGACTAGCAGCAACAAAACTGATGCAACAAGCATGTTGTATAACCAAAACTAGTGTAGTCCGGTCGGAGAAGCATACCGAGTAGGTCAGAGTAGCTCTGAGTCAGATGCAATGCGCAGCTAAGCAATGAAATACAGTGTGCTTCCTCATTCATGAACGTGATTTCTGCCCCCCGTCGTACTGATTCCATCGACTGTGGAGGTGAAGATGACGACTCCACACTCCTTCACGGGATCATCAAGCTACAATGTTGTTAGTGCTGAATAACAGAACTCTGCGGTGAACGTTCCTACTGTATATTTTGCACAAGTATGTTGCTGATAATCTAGATAAGCTTTAGCACAGCATGTTGCAATAATCGGATAGAATAAAGGACGAGGATTTTTTCCAATGCAACCAGATAAGCCTGCCGCTTAGTACAGTCTGCGGCAATAATAGAAGCCTAAGTAATAAACATATATTCGATAACATTTGCATTAAACAACCAGTACAGTACTGATAGCAATGTTGCTGATACAACTAGGCTACAAGCATATTTCTGATACCTGGATAAGCATAGCACAGCATGTTGGCAATGACACCAGATAAGGTGATCCCGGGATGTCCCCCAGGATGATCCCAACTCATCCTGAAGTGCCAGCCTCATCAGCCCTGTGAAGGCCTCATCAACACGACAGCCATGGAAATGGATAAATACTCTAAATGTTCCGATCCAATCTGACTTGTAATGCTGCCCGAATCATACCCTGTTCCTTCGTTGGCCAGAGGAGAACTGGCCCCCGACTGAGTCTGGGTTCTCCCAAGGTTTTTTTCTCCATTCTGTCACCTGATGGAGTTTTGGTTCCTTGCCACTGTTGCCTTGGCTTTTGGCTTGCTTAGTTAGGGACATTTAATATTCAACAATATTATTGATCTGCCTTACATAAGGTGGACGTTGATGCAATTTTCTTCTAGAAACAAATTTTGTTGTATTATTTTCATGTCATCACTGTGAAGCTGCTTTGATACAATCTGTATTGTAAAAAGCGCTATATAAATAAAGGTGACTTGACTTGACATAAGCCTAAAATACAGTCATGTTCCAAATACCTACTAGATAAATAGCTTTAACATTTGAACTCTCTCTTGTGAAGTTCTCACCACCATTCGAGACCCAAGTCTCACCTAAGCAATCCTAATCTACATTTTTTCCTTTGACCTCCCCAGTTCCCCCTTTCTATCATGCTGAGATCACCTGAAATTCACCCAAAAATCAATATAGTTTATTGTGAATAACTATTATACAATATTACACATGTTTGGTATCATTTGAAATGTCTCGGTGCGACTGGTACAAATGTCTCATTCCAAAAGAGGTAAATCAAAAGGTAATAAGTTATTAAGAGTTTTAGGGATAACCTGTACACAAAGGAGAGTGTGTCTTCCAGGCAAATGGCACTCTGCCTCCAAGAGGTGTAAACTCTGAATGCAAATTGCTATTGTTAGCAAATGTTTCTGTCTATATAATGAGATGCAGCAAGAGGCTCGGCGTGATTTGTAACTCAAATTAGCCCATAATGTTGAAGGACCTCAGGGCTTCAGCTTTATGTATTTTTCTAAATGTCGGGTTTAACCTACATCTTTTACTAATTTGATATTATTGTATTGATTATCTTTGAACTGATTATGAATTTGGCATGATGCATTTACCTGACATAATACATTGTAAACATTTGATTTTATTCTAACGGACTGTGACGGAGTGACTCCGTGACTGAGTGCAGGCCACACACACATACACGCACACACATACACACATATGCACATACTCACTCCCCGCTCCCTTCCAGCCTTTAATTAAGCCGGTCATAAAACTCGCGGTTATATACTTTTCTTCTACTGGTTTAAGTAGCGTGAGCAAGGGTGCACACTTGGTAGTTCTACTCTTCTTTAAGCATACATTTAAACAAACATCATAAACACTTACTATGTGCCGAGATGCATTGCAGGTTTACTCTGTTTCCCATCCAGTTTGGCCAAACAGAAGCGTAACATTTCCGCCTTTTAAATAGCGTGATTCTCGCGCGTTTTCATGGTCACGTGAACTGCATAATTATGGTTTTTGGGTTGTAATAATAATTTGCGATGCAAGTAACTGTTTCAGGGGAAGGGAAATGTTTGTGGAGATGGTTGTAATTATTGTTGAAAATATGTAAAAGTGTAATAGATATAATTCCTTTTCTGGATTTAGTACAATGTGTTGATGATATTGTGTAATTGATGGTTAAGCCTAAAGGGAGGGGCTACTGGCTTTAAAAGTCACAGCTTTGGGCCTGTGAAGTCAGTCTTGGTCTGGTTACAGAGGAGGTAACTAGTGATTTGCATTTTTTTTTGTGTGTGTAACTTTATTATAGTGAGTTTTTTTTTTTTCTTTAAACAGTTTTTTTTCCCTCTTGTACGTTTTTTTTTCACTATTT